TTTGGGGGAAGGAAAGGCATCTATACAACCACCTCTGCTCACAACAAAGAAAACTGCAGTTCACTACAAACGAATTCAGATGAAGACAACATCAATTGCCTGAATTTCTCTGTAAAAGATTCATTTATTGGTGAAAAGGCCAAAACGACCAAGGAAAGATAAGCAAAACGGTGGAGTGTAAACAAGGAATCTTAAAATCCAAAAGCCCTTGAAGAAGTGAAAAGTGGAGGTCGTAGGTCAAAGAAATTGAATAGAAAATAAAGAGAAGAAAGTTATAAGTGCAAAGCGGGAAGTGCTGAATGTCAAGAAAGCACAGAAAGGGAAGAAAAGGAGAAAGCAGCAAGCAAAAATACAAAACAACTGTTGGAAGTGCAGAAAGCATTTGAAGAGGAAAAAAGTGTAACACTTCAAAACACAAAACGGGAAGCGGAAAATGCCAAGAAAGAATTACAGGAAGTCCTTAAAGCGCTTGAAGAGGAGAAAAGTAAAATGCAGGAGGCAACAAACGAACTGGAGAATGCAAAGAAGGAAGCTGAACAGCTAAAGAAGGAGTTATTGAATGTCCAGAAAACACTTGAGGAAGAAAAGGGGGTAAACAGGAGGCAAGAAATGAGACTGAAAATGTAAAGAAGGCATTGTTAGAAGCTCAAAAAGCACTTAAGGAGGAGAAAGAGACAGCAAATGCAATGCAAAATACAAAGAATGGTGAAAATATAGAGATCAAATTACTGGAAGCCTGGAAAGCATTGGAAGAGGAAAAATGTAAGATAAGATAAACCTTTATTAGTCCCACACGTGGAAAATTTTGGTCAGTGTGCAATGTAGTAATGTATTCACATGTTTGTTTGTTGATGTTATTTTTTTGTCAGAGACTGTTTGCAAACATCTCTTGCTTTCATCCCCCTGACCCCCATCCCTACCCCTGCCCCATTTCTTCCCACCACCCTACATCATCCACTGATATTCCTCTACTTAGGAAACACCCAAGTGGACATTTTTTACATAGAACCAAATGTACTGATGAAGACATCATGGCCACAAGCTGCCCCAGACCATCCACACTACCACCACCATGTTTGACTGTTGGCATGAATAAACTAATATATTGGTATAAATCAGAAAGGAGGAAAATAGTTTTTCACAGCACTGTAAATGAGCATTAGTCTAGAAAAGACGGTGGTGTATGTGAATAACGTGTCTTCTTTTTTCCATCATGGATGTTTAACCTGTATTTGTGGACGGCACAGTAAATTATGTTTTTTTGGAAGCGTTCCTGAGTCCATGCACTGGAATAGCACCTGTGTGTAATGCAGTGATTTTGAGCCTTGTCTCTTAGGCAGAGATTTTCTCTGAATCTTTTGATGATTTTATGTGCCGTGGATGAAGAGATATTTAGTCTTTACAATTGCATGTTATGGAACTGAAATTGCTACACAATTTGTATGCACTGGTTTTTTTCCATATTGGTGAGCCATTGACCATTCTGCTCTTTTGTTTACCCAATTATGTTATTGAACTGCTGTGATTTAACCTTAATTGATCTCAACACTTTCTAAAATATTGTATGATTCTATGTGTGATTTCAGCACTTCAGACCCATATTTTTTTTAAATATACTAAATCATGCAAACGTGAGTTGGTCGCTGTCTGTGTTAAAGTGTATAAATAAAGCTACTGTTAAAAGAAAAAAAATCTTGAACTGCGTGAGATTTGAATACAATACCCAGAATGACTTTCGGCGCCTTTTCCAATAAGAATCCAGCTGAAGCAGCCGCGCGCCAGTTCCCAGCCAATCAAATTCAGGGAAGGGGCGTTTGGCAGAAGCGAGTTCTCGGACTAGGTTTTCATTTGAGCGAAGTTTTGGAGCTCTGAGAATTTACGTAGCTGACAGGCCCTCCTGTGTCAGCACTCACTTTTTCTCTCTGCAACTGCGGTGTTCCCGGTGACAAAGCTCATGACGGTTGCTGACGGTGGCACCTTATCGCTCGTCATGCCCGTCCGAGCAGAGTACCGCGGCACCACCCGATCGGCCTGCCCATCCTCGGCCTCTCTCGTCCCCCCTGCCCCGATCAACACCCACCAGCCGGGGGTGGCCACCTCGCTTCTGTACAGCGGCGCACAGTTTCGTGGATACCAGAAGAGTAAAGGCAACTCGTACGACGTTGAGGTGGTCTTGCAGGTAATTTTGTGGTCCTGTATAGTTATATACAAAGTCTGCATATGAGTAGACTCTGTGCATCCATAGTTGCTAACTTGCTATCTTTCCAGATGTTAGCTGCATTAGCTCGTTTTTTGTGTTTTGTTGCTTTTCGTACATGTTGAGAAAATTTTGAGCTAGCTTAGATGACCTTATGTCTTCTTTTGGAGTTTGAATTTGAGACAACTTGGCTTTAAAAACTGATGTTTCACAGACAAGTTGGCGTTTAACCCCCCCCTCAAAGCTACCTAAATTGCAGTATTAATATAGCAGCTGGTGTTGACACAGCTAATATAATATTTCCCATCTCGGTGAGCTTTCCCACCAACTTACAGACAGTCTTCTTGTTACCATGAAGGATTTTGTGCTTGTCATGTGGAACCGTCAATAAAATGTGTTCTGTCTTTCTCAGCATGTGACTGTAGAGGACTCGTATTTGTGTGGCTACCTGAAAATCAATGGCCTGACTGAGGTAAGTCTCCAAGCTACATCATGAGTAGTAAGACTTACCTTTATTCTTTTGAAGTCGATCCACTGACTGGTTTCCGCTCGCTTTAAGCAGGCTGCAATGTGACAGAGTACATTAGACCAGTGGTTCACAACGTTTCCACTTCAAAAGCAAAAAATCTTAAAAAATGTAATCAATCAACTTATGAGTAAAAGAAGAGCCAAGTTTAACTGGTTGCATCAGCCAACTTTTTTTTTTTTTTTAAACTTTCCCTAGAACAATCCCATTCATTCAACTTAAGCAAAGTAGATTTGCCTAGATGTGAGGCCTTTAGGGCTAACCACACATGCTTAAGCTCAAGTGTCAGCTGTATACCCATTACATTATGTAACATATGGAAGCAAAAAGGTCAGGGGGATCTTGGTTTCAAGTTCAGCTTTGGCAGAGCGAGTGAAAGATGAGAAGTCAGGTTGTGAGTGAAGGAGTTGTATTAAAGCTCACCTGGTATCCATGAGAAAATTAAAGCAAGGGAGCATTCCTCTTATTGCCGCTTTATTATTTTTATATGTTATACAGTACCATATTTTAAGAAATTGTGAAAGCAGCCAGATGAAAAGGAATAATACACTACATCCATTCTGCTGATCCTGAAGCTTAAGCCCTGCCTATCAACATGTAAATCACAGGAAATCTGGACATTTGAATAAGCTATTTGCACAGTGCAGGATAAATGCAGTTTTAAAACGAGTACCAAATCACGTTGCAAACAGTCCCGTTTTATCTTTCCCTCCTGATTCATTCTGTGTCTGGCAGGAGTATCCAACTCTAACAACGTTCTTTGCTGGAGAAATGATCAGCCGGAAAAGGCCATTTTTAACTAGAAAGTGGGATGCGGATGAGGATGTGGATAAAAAACACTGGGTAAGTCCTGCTGATTTTTAATTTACTTTAACTGATGCAGGAAGTGCTGTTAATAATTTTGCAATGATCAAAGAAGTAGTGGTTGATCAATAAAGTGCATGAGAACGAAAAACGTGCTTTTAGTTTTCTTCATCATTGATTTTTAAGTTTTTGGACATGTGTCAGTTTTCTCTAGCTTGGAAAACTGGATACCATGACACAGCTTTTTCTCGAAAGGGCACAGTTAAAGTCGCCACAGCGCGTGCAGCTCCTTATCTAACCGAATTTCCCAGAGGAACCCACCCGAGGGATTAATAAAGTTTTATCTTATCTCTTATCTTAGTTTGAGGGCAGTTTGTGTCCTCATGTCTTTCAGGAAGGCCTTTCCTAATGTTGTGTGGGGAGGTCATTGCTTCGCCATTCCTGATTTTTCATTTTTCATAACACCTATTGTGTTATTTAACGCCTATACTACTTTATCCCCTACTTTATCTTCTGCCATGTAGAAGATAAAGTAGGGGAATCAAACAAAGCCTATTTCACAACAGTTTTGTTTTTTTTGACCTGATATTAAGGAGTATGAGTAGCACAGGTGTTACTAATGATGCAGTGCTTTAATTAATGTGATTGCTGACACCTGTTTACCAACTCTTTT